CCCGGGCACTTGGAGCGGGAGAGCCGGGGCCGGGCAGCCTCTCCCGGCGGCCAGGTACGGAGCGAGGTAAGCAGCCGCGATGGGCAGCCCTGGGGCTCTGGGTCCCGGAGAGGCTGGGCAGGTGCCTGCCGCTTACAAACGGCTGCTGCTCATTTCGAATGATGGAACCGTAAGGGCCGGGCTGCGGGCATGTCAGGGAGGCACTCGGCTTCTGCTCGCTGGAATTCACCTGCCCAGAGCGGTGCCCGGAGCTTGGTGTCAGCCCTGCTGCACGAACGGCGCCTCACAGCTTTATCGCCCCCTTAGTCACATCCGAGCTTCCTCTGCCTTTAGCTGCAAGGGCTGGTCCCGTGGGAGAACCAGCCACATTTCCTTGAGGTATTTAGCTAGTGTGTCATTCTTCTCTCTGAGGTGTGGCACCAGCCTGGCTGGGATCACAGCCTAGAGCGTGACATTTCGCTTTGGCTGCTTGTTGGTGTCTGCTAGCTATGCTAGTGAATGGATGTGGCACTGTATTTTCCGGGTAGCAGGCTGTGAGTTTTTCCTGTTACAATAAGTAACGGGAATTTGTATTAAATGGGTGGGGAAAATCTCGGGCTTCAGTATTCGTGTTCTTTGTGGTCCTTCCCTCTGTCACTCCCTCAAAATACATAGACTTACTATTTCACCTGCAAGGCCTGAAACGTTTCTGGGCAGAATACTTAATGTACATCTAAAAGCCTAGTCTTCGTGTCCTGGGTTTTATTGCTAAGGCTCTGTCATTACCAATGCCCTGTTAGTAAAGCAAACCTGCAAGCAGTGGCACTGCACGGGAGCTGTGCTGATTTCTGCTCCCCCTGAGTGTCACCACTGTCTCCTCTGCCAGCCCTGCCACCCTCGGCAGCCTGATCCTGCTCTGGGCAGCAGAAGCAGCCGGTCAGTGGCTCCAGAGCCACATTCGAGGTGCGCTGGTTCAGCTGTGGATGTGTGTTAGTCCCTGCCCGTGTGACACAGCCCTAGGGCAGGATGAGGGTAGCAGCAGGCTGCAGGTACTGAGGAATGGAGTTGAAACGGCACCTGTGCTGGGCTGATATGTCAGTACTCTAGCCAAAGCAATTGAACTCTTATTTTTTTTTGTAGTTTTGGTTTTAGTCTTTTGGTGCTTTTTTGTTTGTTTGGTTGTTTTTTCCCCCGAGGTAAGTTGGTCAGAAAGACTTTTTTACCTTGGAAAGTGATGAAGTGCTGAGGTGGTGTGGTATGGCTATATGGGCAGGTATAAGAGGAGCTGGAACTTTACAGTGGTGTCCTCTTCATGTATTGGTGAAAAAGTCTCTAATTGCCACTTGTATAGTCTGTAGGTTGTGTATGTTCGTTACAGAATAGACTCTTAACATGTTAATAAGGCTGCATTGGGTTTTAATGGAGCTGGATTTTGTTGGGAAAAAAAAAACATCCTGTTTATGTGAAATTGTTTGTCAAACAATTTGAAAACTGCACATAAGGATTTTGACAAAACCAGTTCTCTTCTTTTGACTGATTCCCCCTAGCAATGTTCTAGTTTCTTGCTAGTCCCAATATTCAGTCAGATAAACTTTTTGTTTTCCCTCAGGCTCCGTTAAATGCTGCTTGTGTAAATAGTAACAGGACAACAATATCCCAACAGGAAGTTAAGCCAGAAATTACAAACAGAACAATGCCCTTTTTCAGTCCAAGATCCTTGAGTGTGTGTAAACCCGTTTATTATCCAAAATGATCACGTGTGAAGTCTTCATAAGCTTTTCCACTCAAACTGGTGATTGATACTTCTGTAACTGATACTGCTCATTAAAGTACAATTTGCAGGTTGTAAGTTGAGAGGTATCCATTGCAAGTGCAGAATAAACAGAGCTTTCTTTTAAGTCAGAATTGCTTTAGTAAGCAGTACCTTCTAATAAGCCTGGTGTTGTTGGCTGCCTTTCCACTGAAAGCAGAAAAATAATTCCAACCAGCTACTCAAAACTCACTTCTTTTTCTTGTAAGGAGTTATCTCCTTCATATAGAAGTAGCTGATAGTGTTGGTTAATAGACTTAAAAAACTTGTTTTGCAAGGCAAGATTTAGTCCTGCTAAATACAGAGAACGTGACAGTCTGCAGTTTGGAAATTGAGTCACAAGACTGACTTGCACTGATACAAAATGATTCTTGCTTCAGCCCTTTTTTCCCTCTAAGGGTCAGACTATGAGCTAGGTAATATTTTTCAAGGGTTAAAGAAGTAATGTAGAGTTCTGTTTCGTATTCTTGCTAACCTTGCCTTTGTCTGCCAAGTATACTGTTCTTGCTCTTCAGTTGCCTCTCTCTAATTTTAATAGTTATATATCTCAGTGCTTATGATTTTCCCAATGAATTAAGTTTGCCCTTGCAGTCAGAGTTAGGAGAATAAAAGCAGCCAACACAGAAAGTTGTTCTCAAAGGAACCTTCAGGGCAAGAATTACATTATCCAAAGTCATTGTCAAGTGTACTTCAGTCCACAGGAATTGTATATCTGTGGGGCCTTTTGGGTGGAGAAGCAGGGATGTGTGTGGTAGATGAGGGAGAGTACAGTGAATTTCACAGAATTAATGAAGTATCTGGACTTTCACCCATTCCCTTTATGCAAAAACTCTATGTGCCTACATTAATAACAATTTACTAAAGTGACATGAAAATTTAACTATGTATTGTAACAATTTTCTAGATGTTTCTGGGGCATGTTTATAATACAGATTTCTAAACTCAGGTGAAGAAGTAGGAACCTGTCTGGGACATTGCATGCACAAAGTAGCTGGCAGTTCTTGCCCAAAAACTTTATCTAAGCAACCACAGGTGATGCAAAGGGTTTAACTTGTAAGGAAAGTGAACACGAGGAAAATAATGTCATCTTACTATGTTATGGGGGAATTACAAGAGGAATGTTAAATAGAAGGGATAAGGTAAAAAAGTGAGTGGGTACAAAAAAATGGATAAAGAGTAAATAAGGAGCAGAGCTCATGATGATGAAGAGCAGTTGGAGGCAGACACTTTTCTGCTTCTTTCTGTCTGGCTGCTCTCTGGACCCCACTCTTACCAGGAGCAGCTGAGGGATGGGGAGAGTGGGATCTGGATTCTGGTAGGTGCCATTGCACTATAGGAGTAGGAAGTAAATCCATTTGGGCTCCAAATCCAACAAGCTGTTGGGAGAGACAGCAGCACGGTGGCTGTGAGGGGCTGTCACTCTCTTCCCATTTTTTAATCTCTTGCTATGCCGTAGTAAGCAAATGAGTCTCTAGTGCTGCTGCATGTCATCTGTCACTGGGAAGATCTCTTGTAGCAGAGACACAATTTAGGTTGCTAAATTGAATTCAAGGTCTAAAACAGCAGAGCTGATGTTGGTTCCTGTAATTGACCCTGCTGACATCAATAAAACCACAATGGGAGGCCTGTAAGAGGTGGTGTTTGTTGGTGCTGGCTGGGTACTTTGGCAAGATGCAGTAAAGATAAGTGGCTTTTGCTTCCGTGTATGATTCACGCTGGTTCCATTGCTAATACATCAATCAGAGATGAGATTTTCTCCAGTGTAGTGTTTGATTAGTGTCAATTCACAGGCCCTTTAGATTTTCTGAGAGGATTTCCTGGTCTGTTGCACAAGTGTTGAAACTGTTGGGACTGAGACAGTGGAAGAGTAGTGATCAGTACTGGAATCCAGCTGTTGATGCAGAATGTAAAACTCCAGCTTGTCTCTCAAACTCACTTTTGGCTTCTAGAAATCAATCTGGTTTATTGTTTTTTCACCGTGAAGATGCGGGGAACATGCTAAACAGGACAGGGATTCATGAATAAAACTTGGATAACAGTGAAGCCCTGTGTAGTGATCCCCTACAAAATGAAACTATCTTTATGGAAATAGAGCACATTCAGCCTTCTGAATCACTTCTTCCATGGGTTCTATTCCCTTCATTCAACATTATTAAGTTATCTATGATGCAGTTCTGGAATTCCCTGGTTTTATTCCACTTCAAGATGTGTGCAAATAGTATTTACTTCATGAAATCATTTTTACTGAGGGATTACAGGTAAAGAGCTTGAAGGTCAAAGTGGCTTTCCTGAGACTTGATGCCAGGACAAAGTACTATTTTGACAAGACATTCATGTTTGATTTATTATATCCTACATGAGGATTAGTATCTATAGCAGAACATTACCTGCACATGAAGGGATGAAACTAACCTGGAATATTTTGTCAAGACCATTGATCTGTGACTTGAGTGCAGTAATTTTTCTGGGAAATGATCCAGAAGTATGAGTCTCCAAGCACTGCCTGGAGTTTCCTGACCTATATCATTACAGGGTTGAACAATTTAAGTGGAAAGCACTCACCCTCCACAGATCTTCTAACTTATTTACATATTAATGATCATTAAACCCACTGATCTTAAGCAGTTCTGTACTCCAGAGAAGGTGCACAGGATTTGTTTCAGCAAGATAAGTTGCTTGCTGAAACCCAAAAATTTAATTCACAAGCAGATGCCCCTCTGCAAAGGGAGTACTTGTCAAGATCCCACTTTCTGTCTTTCACAAATAACCTCTGACCTCCAGCAATTTATTTTTCCTTCTAAATAATTTTTAAAGGAAAAACTGGGTCTAAATGTCCTATCTTTTCCTGAAGCTATGGTTTGTTGCATTCCATCATAGGTTGAAAAGAAGAAGGTGATGGTTTAGTTTGAACATTACCTGCTTTGGGTTCTTTCTAGTGAGCTATGACTGGTCAGAAATGCAATGGCCAGATTTTAGTTTGTCTCAGCATACATGGAAAATTCATTTCAAGTCCTTAAAGCCTGGTGAGTGGAGAAAAAATTTTATTTTCAGATGCTGGGTTCAGTGTTAGCCTGTAAGTGTCCCTGAGGATTTTCATAGTGATCCTGGCATGCAATGTACCATAAGACTCAAAGAAAATAAAATGGGTAATGACAGAGCCAACAGAGAACCTGTCTTGGGCATTTTTGAGTTTCTGAGGAAGCCCTTATGGATTAGCCTCAAGGACTCTCAAATGAATAGGAGAAAGAAATGCTGGATGTGTTTTCCAGCCAGGCTGATCTGTTTCTTCTGTTTGGTTGATGTCAGCACGTTGGCTGATATGGATGGCTGATGCTTGATTTTGATTTTTTCTGACTTTGAAAAGCCCTCAGAAACTAGACACTATATAAATATCCATTTTGAAGATACTTTTCATATAATACTTTGCTGCAGTAAATATCACAAATAAAATCCACTGCAAATAAAGAAGTTTGTTGAGACTCTACTGTTGAAAGAGATTCAACTCTGCTTTTCCCAGGAATGGAGCTGAAATAAAAATAGGGTTTGATGGTTTTTGCTGGCTGTGCCCTTTATAGTTTATTTTTCCCTTCCCTGCTGTGGAATAGCTTGCCAGCTTAGGAAACTTGCACGGTGCCTTTAAGAACAAATGATAAAAATAATTTCTTTTTTATTTTGAGTATGATTTTTGATTAATTGCAAGAATTGCCTGTTTAATTTGTATTCTGTTTTTCTAATATAACATTCCCTTTTTACCGACTCATGAGGACTCCCATTCAATAAATTCTGACTAAGTCTGGCTTGTTTAAGATTCAAATGGGGCAGTCTGTGAGAAATCTAAAACCAGGCCTATTTAAAGGACTGAGGATTAAACCATTATAAGAGTCCTCATTAAGAATGAGTTTCTAGATGTTGTCAGCTCTGTACAAAGCCACTGTCCTGCAGGTCCCTTATTCACAACTAAGGCTTAGAGATGTGCTGCTAGCAAGGAAAAGAGAAGGCTTCACCTGTTTAGTTTTGGAAATATATGGTTGGTTTTTTTTTTGAGAAAATTGGCACATTTGGCTTTTGCTGTTTAAGGAGGAGAGAGAGGACTTAAATCTTTTTTCTTAATGTTTTGACATGCTTCTAAAGCCTGGCCTCATTAGTGCTGGGAAAACTTCCGTGGCACTGCAGTCCCACAGGCTTGGAGAGACTTAACTATAGAGAAATATGAGTTTCTATTTGACCTGCAACTTCTGGTGGGCCCCAATTTCTCAATGGTGATGAAGCTACAACCACTGCTGATTTATACTGTTTCATGTTATTTGTTTGTAGAACAGCAGAATCTTCAGAGTTGCTAAAGTGGAGTTCCTTCCTTTTAATTTTTATGTACCTTCATCTGTTTTGTAATCAGGTCTGTAATCAGTCTTTCCATTAACATATTAATGAAGCAGTAGAGACAAAAATAAGGAAGATTTCATCCTTCAAATCAAGGACTTGTCATGCATTATCATTACAATGAAGCCTTTGAAAATCCAGACTACCACTTCTCAGAGACATTGGAAATTGATAGAAGGTGAGTTTATTTTATTTTACTGTGTGCTATAAGAAATAAGGTTATTTATATGCAGAAGATACTTCTGCTCTGGAGTTTTAATTTGTGGATTTATTTTAATCCCTCCTTTATGCTTTCATTCTCAGACATATTTTTAGAACTCTTCCCAGGAAGACAGCATTCAGGGAAATGGTGTGTTTGCTTTTTACATGTTGGATGAATTTCAGCTAAATTTATTTATGTCATAATGTTGTACATATTTTTTAGTTCCAGTAATTTTCACAATGGGCTGTAACCTTGGATATCTTTGTTTTCCAAGCAGGTATTCCTGTTTAGTTAAGGGTCTAAGATAACTTCAGTCAGAGAAAATTTTAGCCTTCCTAATTCATTTGATGACCAAGTCAGAATTACAGTGTTGAAGTTCTAAATACAAAATACCTCTCAGTATCACAATTTGTTTTATAATAAACTTAAATTTGATGAGAATAGGTAGCAAATTATTCAGGATACCTATTGAGGGTTTTTCTGATTGTCAGGGTTTTCTTTTTTATTGCTTGCACAGAGGGAGCTCTCAAAGGAATCAATTCTCTCACCAAACTCCTTATGATTCATCTCTGCATGGTTCCTATGGAGAACACAGAGGGAGGGAGCAGAACTACCCTGTGGCCATCCCAATGTCCTCCCTGGGACCTGGCTCTGACTACAGCCAGAATTTACCCAGCACAAGTCCATATGGAAATTTCACAGGTATGTAGTTCTCATGTGACCAGCTTAGAAGATCCCTGGAACAAATAACAGTTGGCTGTGCCACGAGGGAGTCCTGCAGCTCTGCAAAGCTCAACTCTGTAAATATTTTTAGCTTCATTTTTTTTTAAGCAGTTCAGGTATTTTATTAGCAAATCCATGGATTGTCTATTGTATTACCAGATCAATAAATATTGTCTTGTATGGACTGAGTAAGTTGTTGAGTACTAGGATGTATATTGGAGTGGAATATGGGAATTTTGTTGGGAATAGGTTGCTGTGTTGGCAGTAGATCTGGATTTTGTCATAGGGTTGGCGTTCTGTGTCTGTAAATAGCCCATAGAAGTTTGCAACTTTGTGTAACTCTGGTTCCCTTCAACAGACAATATTTCCTTTGAGTCTGAGCCAGAACTGATTCACACCCGACATTCTACCCTCCATCTGCTGGATTATCCCTATACTCATGGAATTTCCAGTGGATCAGAAGGTAAGGATTGTGGTACATCACAATATTGCATGCCAGTCTTACCCTCCATAAAATAATACTAATAAATATTTTAAAGCCTTCTTGTTCAGGTATTAATATCTTCACATAATAAAAGGAGTCATAAATGGGGTCCTTCCACATCAGAGAGCTGAGCTCCACATTGGGATGTGACACTGGGACTGGCCATTAGCTTACTGGGAAGGCCAGGCAAGGAAAGCTGTGGCTAAACTCATTTGTGTCATGGCTGGAAGGCAGATGCTTTTAAGGAGTGTGGTCACCTGAGTTTGAATAAGTGGATGAAAGGAGGTGGAGAGAGCAGCTGCATTTTGGCCCCAGGGAAATAAGAGTTTGGCACATACGACTTACTCAGCATGATGGAGATGATTCTAAAATGCTCCAAACTGAAGGCAGGGGAATGATTTTTAAAGATAGGCTTTGTCTTCTGGGAATAAAATCTTGAATAATGAATGTGTGCATTTGTGAGTGGCTTAGATGGAGTTCTCCATGACAGCTAAAGACTGGGCTCAGTTTGTCTTTTCCAGCACTTACCTGAAAAAGTGCTTGTGGTTGTCAAAGACAACCACAAAGGAAAGAAGTGAGTGGGGGAGTGTGTTTGCATGAAATTAGTGAGATTGAAGGACAGACTTTTAACTTGTCCTTGCAAAAGTGAAATTTGAATTTCTTAAGTCAAATTGTCAGGACTATCTGGGCCTCCTAAAGAATGCATACTATTTAGACAGCTTCATTCGGAGACGCAACCGAAGACCACCTGATGAGATCTTCATGGCTTCTTCCAGCACACTGGAAACAGATCCAGCGTGCAGTAAAGGTAGGGGATTAGCTAAGTGGTTCAATATTTGACAGTATCTTCTACAAGGATGGTGTGGTTGATGCTGCTCTTAGTTTCTCACCAGAATTGTGGGTACAGCCCTTCTGTGATTATAGGGACAACTTAGGTTTGTGTTATGGTAGTGATTAATCTTTTATCCTCTCCTAACACACTCAAATCCCCTGATAAGTGAAATGCAGAGCAGTATGAAGGTGTTAAATTGTAGAAAGAAATGCTAAGCTCTTTATTAGAATTTGTTTGACCAGCTAATAGATTGCTTTCAGCCACTGTGTCTGGAATTAGCATCAAATTCCAACTATGCAGAAGCAGCCTGATTGTCAGGTCATAGAGATGTGTCTGTGGCATAGGTAGTGCTAAGTATGAGCACTAACATCAGCTAAAATTACAGAAGAAAAAAAGCAAAAGTTTATCTTTCAAATCAATATGCAGCATCACAGAAGTGTAACTATCAAACAATGTTTAAGCAATGGACCAGAATCTTGGAGTCTTGTCAGTATTTTATTTTCCTTTATATTGTAGCTCTTTCTGTGAACATTATTGGACTACTTTCTTGCATCTGATTAGAGTTCTGAGGGAACTGAAGATATTCTGGACAATATTATTAAGTCTCAGCTTTCACATCTTGGTAGCAGTGTGAATAGGGGATGTTGTTATATCCACTTCAGGCTGTGTATAAAAATGACTGTATTCTTATTCCCCAATTTTGGTTTTTGCATGGGTTTGATGCAGAGGAAGATTTAGTTGGAAGTCTTGCAAGTATGTCCACCAATGAAAGGATGAAAGCAATGCAGAAGATGCCAGAGACCATGGGAAAAAAGAGAGAGATTAGGTAAAAAGTTTATCTGTTTAGTTTTAAAAACATTTACTTCTAGCAACATCTGGCTATCAGTTATGGGGGTTTGCCATTTGCTGAGCTTTGGTTTATCATTTTATGACAAAGAACTTTTTAATGCACTTTTAAAAAGTTAATGTCTTGCAAGAGAAAATAATTTAACAGATAGAGATGAGAAGAATATCTATAGTAATACAAAACAGAAAATCAAGGTCCTGAGATTTAGTTGTAAATGATGACCTGAGATTTATTTTCAGAGGAAACTTGGATGTTGGTCATTGAAAATGGAGAGGAGACAGCATTATCTCAACCATCCATTTGTCTCCACACAAAATAAATTTAAATTGTGCTGCCAGTGTGAGTTACTGGAGGGGTTAGAACATGCTGTCATAGCAGGGACAGGAGCCAAGGCATCAGCTAATATAAAATGAATCAGTGAGAACATCTCTGTGTTGTACTAACTCTGTTCATGTGCACAGGGGTGAAATTATATTTGCAATATCTTCTTTGGCTTCTTGATTCAATTACAGCTCATACTATAATGCTTGTCACCCCTGCCCTGCTCTTCCACAGAAATAAAGTTCTTAAAGAAATAACAAAAAGATCAAGGCACCGTGGTGCTCAGCTTTCCTGCTGTAGACAGTGTCTGCAGGGAGCAGCAGTGGTAAGTACCAGAAACTTCTGTCAGTCACAACAGAGCAAACCACTCTAGCTGCAATGTTACCACTGTCTCCAGAGGAATCTGGTGTCCTGCTTCATGTTACTTCCCAAAGACCCAGTTAATTGCTGCAGTGTTCATTAATAATGACTTGCACTGCAGTAGCACCAGTTAACCATCTTATGGTATATGGAGTGGGGCAAATCCATTCTTAACATCAAAATGAGACTGTAACATTAAAATGTGGAACTTTATTATGTGAAATTGAGTCCTGTTTACTTGCTGAGATTCATCTCTCTCCTCTTTTTCCTTTCAGTCATTTCGGCGATTTGGAAATGCCCTTTCAGAATATTTTCACCAGCTGCGGGTATGGCACAAGACTCTGAAGATCATTGGTGCTGAATTTGGAACAAGTGTTCTTTCCTACTTTGTTTTCTTGAAGTGGCTGCTAAATTTTAACATCTTCTCATTCCTCATAAACTTTGGTTTCATCACAATTCCTCAGTTTCTTGCAGCAGAACCAAATAACCTTTCATTCATGGGCCTGGAGCTGCTCACTGGAGCTGTAAGTATTTAAATTTAATCACGCCTGTAATTTCATGATAAGGAATAGGACAGCTCCCACCTCCAGTAATTGTTCTTCAGATGATGATGCTTTCCACCATGGAGGTTATAGAAAATATTCTGAATGGTGTCCTTGTCTTTTCAGGGTTATTTTCAACAAACAGTGCTCTACTATGGATTTTACACCAATGCTACAATCAGTAAAACGGAGAATGGTCCATCTTACAACATGCAGCTGGCCTATATCTTCACTGTTGGAATATATTTTGTCATCTGTTTTCTTATCTTGTTGTTCAGGTAAACTGACTGTGAATTCCTATTTCTCTTCTATTAAGTGGAAAATAGCCACACAATAAAAAAACCCATCCTGTCAACAGAAGTAATAATTACTTGAGTACATTTCTGTAAGTCTTCATTTCCAAGTGTAAAGTTTAAGTAGAAATTTCTGCTCAAAGGCAAGTCTTCAGGAATCAAACCTTTATTACAGAAATTAAAAATAACTGCAAAATAGTAAGGGACATACAGAGAATCCCACTTCAAACTGGGAATATTGTGATCCCCTTTTGTAAGCTGTTGCTCCTAACATTGTTTCTTATTGATGTGGCCTTTCAGAGGCCAAAGATTGTTAGCAACAATCTCAAGATGGAAATGCTAGAGTTTCTTACATTAAAATTTATTTTCCACGTTGTTGTATGTGATACGGTGACTTAGGTCCAATAAACTTGTGGTGTGATGGAAAAGCTGACAAATCTCCCTCCTTGCCCTGCTGTACAGACTTGATGAATTTCCCTGTTACACATCTGACCAATTTAATTTTCATTGCAGCATGGCAAAATTCTTCTCCAGGAACTTCACTAACTCTGAGCTATTTTCTGTGAATATACAAGTTGCCAGCAAGTTGCTCTGCATTTGGGACTTCAATATAACTAATGAAAAAGCTGTGAAGCTGAAACAGAAGAATCTCCACACACAAATAAAGGTACAAACCACAGGAGGTACAAAACTAATGTGCATGAGTCATTCTTCTAGAGACTTAATTGTGCATACAAATTTGTGTGTGCACATACAAGTCTCTGGCAGAGTGACACAAGCATGCTAGTTCTGTGCCTAAGAGATTTAAATCTTCCTGGCTTCCTGAGTTTCATTTGGTCTGAGCTCCTGGCATTGGCTTAACTACTTGTTTTCCTTTTCTGTTTAAGCTACATATAAATATTTGTATGCTTCTGTTCTATTGAATGAGTCTCTGTGACTGCTATATATTTGCTGTACAGAATATTTCTTCTGTTTTCTCTCCTTCCTGCTATTTAAATATTTTATAAACAAAAAGCAGGCTGGAAATATTATTAGTGAAACTTGACTTCTAGGATAGGAACAAAAAGTTGCCCAGTAAATGTTCCTAGGATGTTACTCTGCCCAAGTTCTAGAGCAATAATCTTTCATTCTGTTTCTCAGGTAGTTCCTTGAAACGAGTTTTGCCTTATGCTGTTGTCTAAGAACTTCTTCATAAGGAATTGTTTCTCTGCAGGAAGGCCTCACTGAAGTAAACACAGAAGTTCTAAGTTTTTCTGTAAAGGAGAGAGTTCTTCGTCTTGCTATTCATCTTCTTGCTTGGGTTGCTTCCCTGGGAACAGCAGTAGCTGCTTGCACTGGTGTTTACTTCCTCTCCATTAATAACCTCGAGGTAAGGCCAAGATTTGTATTTTTCACATAGGTGTTTCACACTGAGCACGAGCACTGGTCTGCTCACTAGGAGGAGCACAGGGGAGCAGAGCTGCTGTTGCTGCCAGAGCACACACAAATTCTACTGGACCTAAAGAGCTGCTTTGCAAGGCCTGGGGCATGGTCCCCCCACTGGGGACTATGGCAAGAGTGTGGGACCTGAGGGGTCTGAGCAAATCTCCCTCCTCTCTCCAGCAGCTGCTTGCCTGGGCCCATGGTCAGCTTAGGGACAGTGCATCTGGTGACCTGGGGACAAACAACCCCAGCTGCTTCTCTCCTGCCCCTTCTCCCCCAGGAACTGCATTTCAGCTGGGGCTCCCACCCTTGGTCCCACATGATTTAGGGGAAGGGGAGAGGGTCTCTGTGCTGCTGCTCATGGGCCCCTAAAACATGACAGTCTCTAACCTGAGAACACACAGGGAGGAGAGCCAGGGGGCTTTCCTGTGAACACACCTTGAGGCAGCATTTTGGTTAAGGCGCTAAGTTTGGGTTGTTTGATTATGTTTTTTTCTTTAAGCTGTTTATGAAAGGGCATAGAAGTGATCTAGAGAGCCAAACTGCCACGTTGGTGCTACCTGTGATTGTATCTCTCCTCAACACATTGATCCCATTCTTCTTCTCCTGGCTCGGGCACCTGGAGAAGTTTCAGACTCCTGGACAGCACATATATGTCACTATTGCCAGGTATTTCTTGCTGCCTCCTCTTAGTGTTTTCGGCCTGAAGCTGTCAGAGTTCTTTGTATAAAAAGCTGTGTCTGGGTGGTGTGGAGGGAATAGGGAGCTATGGAGGAGAATTCATCTTCTCCAAAGGCTTCTGTATGCTCTTGTCTTAGTAACCATTTGTCTTTTATGAGCTTCTGGGATGTTATGTCTCTGCATGCGGATGAGGAATGGTTTCCCTCCCAGCTGGCTGCACTGTGACACTGGGCTTGTACCAGTCCTTGATGGCCCCTGGGCTGTTGGCCCCTCCCCAGGAAAGGAAGGGAAGAGAAAGAGGATTGAGGTCATCTCACTTAAAAACAGATGCCTGGAGTTTACACTGCCTAACCCTGGTGGCCCTCAGCCCTCCTTCCCCTGAGGAGCCCCCACACCCACCCAGCATCCTGTTAGGCAGATGTCAGTGCCAAGGTTGTCAAGTGTCAGTGTCAAGGTGTGCCCAGCTCCCCTTCTGCCAGGACAATAGAACAATGCCACACCTGACCTCCCAGGAGAGCTCCTGTTAGTCCTGGCACTCTGCAGTGCCAAGAGGAGGTAAAAAAGTGTAACCAATAGTCACCCTGCCATCACTCCCTTCAGGCATGGACCAGCTGTTGGTGCAGTTATTGTTCCTTCTTCTTTTTAGAAATATCATCCTGAAAATGTCAATTGTTGGAATACTGTGCTACTACTGGCTTAACATTGTGGCTACCTCACAGTCACAGGTAAAGTTTCAAAACCACAAACCTTTGACTTACAGTGCCAGATTAGGAACCATTTGGATAAGAGACTTGCTTCAGCAAAGGCAAGCACTGAGCTCCTACCCTAACAGTTTTTATTAGCAACTTGAGAGAAATTAACTGTAGAAAAAAATGTATGGCCCAGTTCAAGTCTCAGCTGGATGGCAGCATTGTTCACTGAAAAGTCAGCTATGATTTGCCAGTCTGCTAGAATATATTTGATCAAGATTTCAGATCTTTGATCAAGTTTCAGATGCCTGAGTATTTGGAACAATGTTTTAATAACAATTTTTAACTTCTACTATGTTTTTGTTTTTATTTTTTTTTTCTATTTCTTGAAGTGCTGGGAAACTTTGGTTGGCCAAGATATCTATCGTCTTGTTCTAGTTGACTTCATATTTTGTTTGCTTGGCTCTTTCTTTGGAGAGTTTTTACGAAGGTGAGCACTACTTTTCTAATCTTGTTTGCATTCATTGACCAAAGATATAATCTGTTTTCTCCATGTGTGAAAAGTCCAGCAGAAGCATGGCTGTGGCACCACTGAAGTTTCCTTGATTTTCCCTACCAGGCAGAGTCTCTGTGTACATGCCTTGTGTATACTGCTGCTCCTCCTTAGAAGGAGGTCAGTGTGTCCTTTCTCCCTCTGGAGATGGAACACACACGGGGAGGAGGCCACATTCTACTCTCATGGATTTCCTGAGAGTGAGGTGAAAACAAGTTCTTTTCTGCATAAGAATGGACATGCCACTGCCTTTCTTTGGTGTACCCTACTGTGATTTTTTCCCTCTTAGTTATGTTACTATAGCATCCACAAATTTAAAATCTGATTTTCAGTCTTATTAAGCATATAATGAGTCTATCAAATGTAGAGGTCTGCAGCATGATAAATGAGAAAGTATTGTGAACTGGATGTCAGTACAGCTCTGTATATAAGGAAAAAATAATTTACTTCTAACATCTGCTGTGTGAACCTTCCTAGTGCCAAACATTACTTATGGCTTAGGCAGTATTTAAGTGCTTGCCAGCTCTACAGAGCATTTAGATCCCTGGCCATACTTTTGTGTAGGGAGATCCATTATTTGTTCTCTGCCCATGATTTGAACAAGACTGGTTTACAAGGTAGGGCTTTGTTAACTTTGTGTTGAATTAATACAAAACAATGTTGAGAAGCTCTTGAAGACTTTTCTCCATGGCTCTTGCCAGTATACTTTAATCTTCCTGTTCTTGTTGTATTCAATAGGAAACCACCTCCCAGCAAAAGGTCACAGAACTAAAAGTGCAATGTCAGCTGTGATGAATGGTCTCTCCTAAGCTGGGCAAAAGCACCTGACGTAGGCTTGTGGAAGGTTAAAAGTACAATTGCTTGTATTTAATATTTTATGCTCAGAGTAACCTCCTGAAAGCCAAGCTCTGTTGATGATGCAGTTGATAAGGTGGTATCAAGATTGTTACCAAAATGTTTATTGCTTTTGCTACAACAAGCAAAAAGCTGAGTCTCCACAGCTCAGGAAAAATGAGGTGACTAAAAGGGATTGTTGGTCCTCAGTAGGAATCCTCTCAGTACTTGCTTACCTGTCTGTTTCAGCTCCTTGCAATCTCAGTTAGTTTGAAGTAGGATGTATTTTTGAGGGTACATTAAAAGTATCAGTGTACAAATGTCATTTTTTTTTATTGAGGCTGAAAATTCTCAGGACCTGAAAAAGCTGTTACGGTTTTATACTGAGGCCCCTTGACATTTCAGCTGCTTAAGCACAAGGATACTTGTGCTTAACGTAACAAGTAATTACTATAGTATAGATATGTCCTGATACAGTAAGAAATCCTTGTTGGTTTTCTGTTTCAATTGGATGAAATATATACTAGGTCTTACTTCAACTCTGCTTTGTTTTACAGGATTGGTTTTTTTTTTTTGCCGAATTATTTCATTTTTGCTGAGCTATTGAATGAATGAGCTGTGACTGCTTTGCATGACATTAATGCAGCCTCTAAATAATTTGTCATTGATGCTTACATTCAGAAGGTCATTTACACAGGGATTTCTACAGACAACTTTATCATTTAGCAAATGCTATTGTGCTATAATTTTTGGTTTATCCCCCATCCCCAGAATTATTGGAACTACAGTCTGCATGAACCTGGGGCTGCCAGAATTTGATATTGGACGAAGCGTTTTAGATTTGATCTATTCTCAGACTTTGACCTGGTAAGTGTTCAATTTACAGCCATAACTTCATTTGCACATAGAACTACAATGGAAAAAAATCTTATTCCCAGAAAGAACAGGATAAATGACTGGGAGATGAGCTGTTCAGTGCCTTTGGTAAGGATTGTGACTTGCCAAAGTAATTATGTGGATAGAAACAATAACTTCAGTCAGTAGTTTACCCAGTGGCCACCTGGTGTGGGAGAAACCTGATAGGTTCCTGCAGGAATATCCTGGAGTTTTGTTTACTTCCCCACTGGGATGGTGCTCTTGTTGAAATAGTCTCAGTATTAAATGCTGGAAAAGATGCCTTATTTCCAAGAATGAGTGTTACTCCAATTATAAGAGGGTTCTGCAGATCTGTACATAGATGTGTGTTTAAAATTCCATATTTTCCAAGGTGGACTTACTGCTAGAGGATCAAGGGTAACAAAATCACATTTCCAAATAATTCCACACTATCTGTACATGAAATTATTGTGGTATTTTTCTTCTTTCAGTGCACTGAGAACTGAATGGTGAATAGTGAAGATGTAACTTTTTTCTTCTATAAATCCTTTCTTGTAGGATTGGTATCCTGTTCTCACCTCTGTTGCCTGGTATCCAGATGATAGCATTTTTTATAGTATTTTTTGTGAAAAAGGTAACAAACTTCATATGTATTCATCATAAATAATAAAGCAGTAAAATTAAAGGCTGGAGAACTAGCAGTGGACAAGTGCATATGTCAGTACAGACACTCAGCCTGTGGCTGTGCCTTTGGCCTCCCAGTTACTCTCCATCAACTCCCCTCTGTGAAGTTATCTAGGTGTAAGCAGAGTGATTCAGCTAAAGATCATGGCAGAAATATCTTATTTTCAGAATTCTTTGTCTTAGTAGTATGACCAGATGATAAGTTGTTTGTTGGGTCATGAAGCAGTTTGTAGTGTTGAATGTAGAAGAGCAAAGCTGTAGGTAGAAAGATGGATTCAAATTTCCCTGAACCATGAGTTTGCATATGCTACAAAAGACTTCTGAAGAACCCAACAGAACCTCCTTTTACCTCTTACTGTTTTAAGACTATACTCTTGAAGTTTTCTAAAACGACACTGTATCTATCAAATTCACATAAAAATTGTTCTTGGAAACTCCTGATAGATGCTTTCAGCAATTTCAGTGGGATTGACTTAAACCAAGTTGAAGTGGCAGGTAACAGCATCCTAAAGTATCTTCATCTCTTTAAAGGTCAGCCTGAGGAGGAATTGCCAGCCCCCTCGCAAAGTGTGGAGAACTGCTCAAATGACGACATCATTCATTTTTCTGCTGCTTTGTCCTTCCTTGCTTGGAGTCCTGTCTGTCATTGGAGTCACTGTCTGGAGGTATGGAAGATCACTGACATTAAGGGCTATTAAATTATGCTGTGTGACCTGACACCAGGCAGAGGAGTCTGCAGTTCTCTGTAAAAGAATTTATATTAATTGCTGGTGGAAGGTTTCAGGTGTTCATGAGATGTTCTGTATTCTGAAAACAAGACTTGCTCTGTCAGCTTGTGAGAATGTGGCTCACTGAGTAACTTGTCCCACGAGAAAGTGACAGGAGAAACAAAGTTGCTTTGAAGTTTTGGATTCCTATTTAAATGCATCAAATTTTACTTTTCCTCCTCTTGAAAAAGTTTCTGTGACCAAGTCCTAGTTCCTAGCTTACTTCTAGTATAGGTGATTCTGGGTCTGCAGCAGAGAAACACCTCAGTGTTTCAGTTCAGGGAAAACTCAGTTGAGGTCAGCTTCTGAATTATTTATAAACTTCAGAGGTTCTTTCTGCAGGCAGTGCTGACTCTGTAACAATGCATCTGGGTTGTTACCAATATTTTAAAGCTTCTTTGGTTTTGTGTGTGTTACTTTGGTCACAGGCAGGAGGGCAGCATGGATATGCTTTTCTCTTGACAAGTCAGAAACATGATTTTGATATTTAGTGAGACAGGAGACTGCACATGAAACCAGGTGGGATGAAAGCTATCAGAGCCATCATTTCCAGATGGCAAGTGGGAATTTCAGACTCTCTGGAGTGGTTCAGTATCAAAGCAAACACTTTCCTATTTCAGTCTACCTGAAAATGTTAATTCTAATAATGTGCCGCTTCATTTCACCTTATTCTGTTGTTACTGAAGATCTGCAGCGACTCGTGTCCCTGAAGACAAGGTGAAATGATGATTCCTTGTGATGAAATGTTTTAAAAATACAGTTTTTCAATTTCCTGTAGCAGATTATTGACTTGTTCTATTTATGTTAAGATTGTGCTTGGTACTGATCCACTGCAGCAAGGACTCATGTCTCATTGCATACTCTGGGTGGGCATTTAATGGCTGGAGAGGGACACAAGTTAAAAATGAAATACAGATCATGGAAGCACCCTCAGAGTTCCAAAGACAGTAGAGGGCTATAGAAAACTGAGGAGCATCTTGATGTGCAAAAATCACAGTATTAACTAATTGACTGGTTAACATATGAAATTGTAAGTAGCTGTTTTATCACACTCTCAGGTTAAAACCTTCAAAAGAATGTGGTCCTTTCAGAGGTTTGTCTTCTATGTATGCTGCAGTCACTGAGTGGATACAAATACTGGAAAGTTACACTGCCTCAAAATGGGTAGTGTGGATCTACCATAACTTAATTACAAATCAACTTTTCTTCTTCATCCTCTCTACTTTTGTACTGTAAGTATCTGCTAATGAAAAGAACCAGAAAAAGGCCTTAAGTGGAAAAAACTGGCGATGACAGAGTCATTCTATGTTATTTTGTTATCCAAAATGCATCTTGTATTGTTGACTCACTTAAATATACCTCTCACCTTGAATACAAGTCCATAAATTTTTGGGTCTTTTCCAAAATAATGTTTTAAGCAATTTCATAATTTGCCATGTTTTAAGCAAATCCATGTGTTTGCCATTCCTTGTGTAATTGAATATATCTATTTTATATGTGTGTGTGCATATACAGAGAAGTGTGTCTTTTAATGGGTTAAAATGAACAAGATACATTTCTATCTTGACACTGGCTAGAATTAAGTGCTCATATGTTGGACCATTTTTTGTTTTATTTTGTTTAGAATTGTTACTTATATTTACTGGCAAATAATACGAGGAAGAAAGACCATGACCAAACTCTTACTTAAGCAAATCAATAATGTAAGTTTGGCTTTCAGCTGTATCTTTTGTATAATTTGGCTTCTATGTTGATTGTCTCATCCAGCTTTGTGGGGCTGTAACCTGTTTTTCCTACAACTGTGCAAAGGAAGGGTGGGAGTCCTTCCCCATGGGAGTTGCAGGGAAATTTAACTCAAAAAAAGTTGTAGCAAAAGAATTTTATCTTCAAGATGTGCTGCTGCAGCTCCCTCTGCAGACAGATTATTTTAGAATAGAAGGAATTTTTCTGGTCACCAGTTACTTACAGGCCTTGAGCCCCTCAAGGATAATTAATGCATTCCAGCTAATGATCAAATATGTCTTGACTACAGGCAGGAAAAGATAAGCAATTTCTGCGCAGAAAGCTACAGGCAGAGCAAAGGGCAAAACGAAGCTCATCTGCACGGGGAGGAAGAGGCCAGCAGGTCAGTGTGACTGCTCAGCTTCTCCTCTTTAATTACTTGGTAGGGTTCCATGGGGCTCCTCCAGCTGTGCAAACAGGCTGCTGGTTTGGGAAAAGTCTGTACTTAAAACTTCATCTAAATGTTTACTACTTAATTCCAGACAGCAAAAGGATGCTGTGAAAGGTCCCTAACTGTTTGTTCCAGGCTGGAATTCAACCTGATAAGGATATAGGAAAGTCCTTACCCTCACCAGACATAATTTATGGTTATGAAACTTCAAGAAAATGTTTAATGTTAATGTGCAGTGATGGTCACCAAAGGGTTTGGTCACACTTGAACCTTGCCTAAGCTAACAAGGAGGCTGCCTTCCTCCCTGGCTATGGATTTCCTTAAGGGGTTATGATTTGTGGTTATTTTTAGTTGAGGTAAAACAGAGTGCTTTGACCTAACCCCATTTTAAATCACATACAATATTGATAGACATCTATTGTCCTAAACTTAAATTTATTTTTCAAGGCAGTCCTGCCTGCTCAGCCATCAAATTAGTGTTAAAATGAGGACATATAGGTCATGTCTGGTGTTTTTATTTGGGTTGAGTAAAATCTCCTTGATCTACATACTGATAAAGTGTTTGCTACGTTCCTCTCCTTCCTCCCAAAAAACAAATTCCCCTGTATGACTTAAAATGATTATATAAATGAAAAAAATAATTTAAATTGATCTCTTGTTAACTATAAATATATGTGTGATAATACAAATAAATATTGACTGTAAAGAGATAAGCTGAATACGAATGGGCATTTTCTATGTGCTGGGGATTTTCAACCTGTGCCTGTGTTGAGTGTCACGAGTGGGACTCCTGAGAGGGAGGTTTGGTTACCTACCAAGTGTGGATGTTCTTGTAGTTGTTAATGTCAGACTTCAGAAGGAGATGCCAGAATGACCTCATTGTGGATTTAGTGGAAAAGCCATCTCCCTGAAACAAGGGAGATGAGCAGTGCTGACCATACAGTCACAGCTGGAAGCCAGAACACAGACTGCTGATGCCAAATACTGTTTTTCAGAGAAGCTCCTCTTCATACCACCCCTCCAGGCAACCTGCCCAGGAGGTGCCAGGCTACCCAGGAAGGGCATTTGACACAAACCAAAACACATCCTACAATGAGGTGAGATGGTAAAAAGAGGGAAATGTAGATTCCCCTAAATAGAATCTGGGGCAGGACATAGGTGATGGGTGTATGTGTAGCAAAGTCCTGTATGCATGGAAACAACTTTAAAGATTAACTTGAACAGATATAAAAATGTGATCAGAATAGCTACTGAACACTCATAATCACAAACTTGCTCAAGACTTGGAGAGTATGGTTTTGTTACTGATAACTGTTATCTTTTCAAGCACAAGGTAACACACATGGGAAGGAAATAATGACCTAAACCTGTTTGTGAATTTTGTTTTCAGCATCCCTTTTCTGCTGAGATCTTGAGCAGCAGTGACTTTCTACCAGGTAAGCAACTAAGATGAAACACAGAAAGCTCTTAAAAATTCAGCTCAGTAAAAATGTTTGATGTACAGACACAGTGTGTGACAGCTGCATGTCCAGGACACAGCATTTTAGCGTCTTGTGTAAAGAGAAAACAAAATGACTGGGCTTCTGGGGTGAATATTTTCTATAGGTTGTGCTTTTTGGTAGCTTGTTCTGGTGTTGGTGACTTCTAAAGACTGACCACCAGTTTCTGTGTACTAGAGTGTAATTCCTGGGTAAACAAACCATTTTGTCTTATGGAAGCACCCAACAGACAGGCAAAACTTTAAATCACGTTAGAAACAGACTTCACATCTTGGTGTGAATCTCAGGTCACTAATGCTATAGAGCCCTGAGAACATCATGCTCAAAAATAAAATGAAGCTATGGGATCCTGGTGGTAGTTTGAACTTCCATGTAACTTCATCCCAAGAACTTGACAGATGGGGTGTTCTGGAGGGGTGCTTGTCCCCAGCAGTGCAGTTAACGCTGTTTGCCTTGCGGGGAGCAGGCTGGGAGCCCGGTGCCGCCCGGGCCGTGGCGCTCGCCCTGCGCGCCAGGGAAGCGGCGCTGGCAGAGGACAGCGGAGGATTTCAGCCCTGAGCAACACCCAGTGAAGAAGGCACTGTCTGCAGAAAGCCATCCTCTGTTGCACTAATGACTGAATCACCCAAATACCTATTTTACATCTAAATGGAAGAAAAAATAATAGAAGAACAGATTGCAAAATGCATCAGGACATCAGTTTTTTTTACTGTGTTAGGGAATATCCACCTGTTGAGGTTTTGCAGCAGTGGTATTTGGTGACAGCCTTCCCTCAGGACTGGCATCACCTCGATGCACTAAGGCTCCCTCCACAGCTGACCATGTGTTGTTGACTAAATACAAGGAAACTTGTGCCTAACTGTAAACAAAAGTTCTGTTTTAAAAATATTTTTCTAACAGTTACATTGTTTAAATCTAAAATAATGTTTTGATCTATACCAAACCTGAAGTATTGGTCAAATAAACAGAAGTATATTAAAGTGCAGTTGTTTTTAATGACTGAGACATTGTAATGGCTGTGACATAATTTGTGTGAACAGGGTTCATTTTTCTGAGCCACTTTTAGTTTATTAGTCACTTAAGAGCAGCTCTGATGAAGCCATCGGAACTAAGAGTGACTACTTAGCAAATTCCCATCTGTGTAAAACTATTGCTTGTAAACTGAGAGTTTATACATCTTTTCCTATAAAGGACTGATTGGAATTAGCACAAGTAAGATTTATTTTTTTATCATATATGACTGTGAGATTTGATGCAACTTCTTTTTATTCAAGGCCACAACTTTGCCACCACCAAGACAATTTTTTGTTTTGTTTAGCTCATCTTCTACTAGTATCTGGTTTTTTCCTCCCTTGTTGCTCTGGAATGAGGCACATCCTCTTGCCCATAATTTAGGCTAAAGACAACCCAAACCCAGCCACCACAGGCACATAAGAAAGGACAAACTACACAGTGCAAGAGCAGAGATTCAATTTTATTGTTTCCCTGCACGTACAGCTGTGGAGTCTGGCTGTGGGCATTGGACGTGGACCTGGTGTTTGCAGTGAGGATGGTGACTCAGCAGTGCCAGGCACTCAAGCAGCAACCACAGCTGGACCTTTGGAGCAAGGGCCATTTGCCACAAAGAGTCATTTGCCCTTCAGTGGGGAGCCCCTGCTGGGCTCAGCAGTAACAGCAGAGGCCACAGGACTGAGGAAGGGGCAGGACAGCATCTGGCCATAAACCTACACATTCTGTAGGATGTGCGCCAGGAGGCTGAGACTGGTGCTTCTGCAGTGCTGGGGGGTGAGTGAACAAACGGAAGAGGCTTTTCTCATCCTGACAGGGAAAAGCACCTCCTTTGGGCTTCCTTGTGCTTGGATGGAGCTCAGGATACAAATAAAAAATCCATCCCCCCTGGCAGGTCCTAGCATATGAATCTGTGATATTCCACAAGTTTGGATTTACCCTATTTGGGACAATAGCACTAATTTTGATATTTTATATCACTGCCCTTCTGCACAGCTGATAAAGAACACTTCCCCATGAATTCTCAGAGGTTTGTTTATTGTAACTGCAGACTCTTTGGAGTTCAAGTTAAATCTGGGTTACAGTTTCCATACCCCTCTGAGTGCCCTTCAATCATGCAACCAAAGGCAAACTAAAAAGACATTTCAGCTCCATTTGCTCTACTGCTTATCAGCACTCAATAGACAGCTTTTTCTTAAAAATAAATACATTCATGTGCTGTGTTGTTACTTCATTAGAAGAAACAATTTCCTATCCTCCCTTGGTTCTCTTAAAAGGTCTGGAAGATAAGATGCTACTCAAGTTTTATGTGTTAATTCTCATAATGTTCACATCACACATTGGCTTTTTCTTTCTCATCAGGATTCAGCACAGCCATCTTTACATGCAGGGCAGGGAAATACACTCATCTATTTTGGCACCATTATACCCTTATTTCCAGTTTCTGATTTAAGTTCAGTAATGTAAATCATTTTAAGGTGCTACAAATCAACCTCAAATTAGCATACACTTGTAGAACATGCTGTTAAAATTACTAACATCAATTTACGATTTGAAATTTTGACACCAAAATTGTTAATATAAATTTAGAACCAAAATTTAAACAAGGCCAAGGAATAGCCAGAGACTTATCAAGCAACCTGCACAGACAAGGTATGACCCAACTGGGTTGTCAATTTGATTCTTTCACATTACAGTGCTTTCCTCAGACTGTGTGTGGCTGTGCCTCAGCTTTGGCCAGTGCACCAGAGGGTTCCTGCATTCAAGATGTGACCACAGGCAGAAGCCAGCTGCTGCTCTGCCCTTCCCAGAGCTCTCCTCTGCAGTCCATCAGCACTGCTGGATGCCCTCATGGCTGCAGACCTGCCCCAGGAGGGCAGCGTGGTCGGGCTGGGTCAGTAGTGAGGGTCACAGTCCTCCACCAAGCTGTCGGTGATGTAGCTGCAGTCAAGGACACTTTCGTAGTAGCTTTTCTCTGCAAATGTGTTCACTGTCCAGGCAACCACTCGAATTCCTCTGGAAGACCAGTGCCTCACATAGTCCCTGCAAGGAACAGAAACACCCTGAGAGGAGCCTGACACTACACAGAGTTAAGGCAGACAGTGAGGCTACATATGAGTTTTGGTCTTGCATCAGCATCACATCAAGGAACAAGTGTGTCACCTTCTGCAACATCATCTTTTTGTGTTTTCTTATTGTAAACAGGTAAAAGCAACTTTGAAAAGAAAAACTTTTTCCCTTTGAGATTAAATGTAGGCTCTAACAGAGGTAAAAATTCAGATAACAAAGATAGAAGTTTAAAATCATAGAACAGTGTGAAGTAAAGAAATTACCCAGATACCTTATCCAACACTAAATGGAACATTTTGATGAGCACATACTGTGATAACTCCACCCTATATACTAACAGAAGAGAATATCTCCTGATATATGAACAAACCTTAGTACTTACTGAGAAACAAAATTTTTCTGTATGAGGAAAGCTGAAACCCCACACAATCGCCACAAGAAACTGTGTAGGCTCCAGTCCAGAATGACATCCATCACCATATACAAGAAATGCTTCCAGAAGGAATTGAATCGGGGTGTCCCATCTCCCAGGTGACTCAGCTGCCAGGGCCTGTGTGTCAGTGCTGTCACAACATTTCTGTCAGCTTGTCTCATCTGGAGGACCAAAGAGAAAAGACTAATTCATCCAAAAGCACAGCTGCATTAAATACAATTTTTGAGAGAATGAGTCCTAGCTTGCACTTACAACTCTACCAGAATCCTTCTGTCCTTCCCCTCCAGATCCTTTTGTAACTCTTTTAGAAAGATGTTTACGATATTTCATAGGTTGTTTTTTTTTTTCCAAATCATACTGAATAAGCACCAGCTCTTATGTTAAAGAAATTACACAGCAGTCATGCAATGTAAACAATGGAACTTTACAATGTAAAAAAAGGAAGTAAGTAGACTTGGCAGAAAGAGTTTTAGGAGTAATCTAGAATAAGAGGTTTATTTAGCAGATACCTTGCACACAGATATCTGGCCAGACACCAACTAGAAGAGCAATCACATCTGTCTACCCTGCTTTCAGAAGGGAGGGAATTGCTGTAGATTCCTATTTGCATCTAATGAGTAGAGAGATCTAAAAAGATTATGCATTATGTTTCATTTGTTTTTAAAAGCCTTAGGAATTTGAACAGCCCAAAAGTAACCTGGAACTGGGAGTTTAATACCATAGTGAAATTCCCAGATGTGACTAAAAAAAAATAAAAATAAACTTTCAGGAAGCATCACCTTATAAACAACATCAGGCATGAAAGAACAGACTATGCTGCTGTTATACAACTGTGGAAATTCCTGGTAGAGTTGTTTCAGGGCATCAACTGCCTGCAATCAGAGACACACAGAGATGTTATACATACACTCATATTTAATTTACACTGCAAAGTTGTTTTAGAACAATCTTTAAAACACTTCCCTGCTGTGTTGCAAGATTGAAATAGAAAGGGAAAAGAACAGCATCTTGTTTACAGCATTAACACAGAAATGACATTTTGTTTTTTTGCAAAAGAATTTCTGTTCATTACTCTATTTACAAAAATAAGTGGGATTCCCAGTGTTTGAAATACCCTTAAATATGTTGTGGATATAATTTTTTAGTACTACCTAGGCTTTAGTTCAAGAGGAAAATCATTTATTCCTGTATTTTGCTAAGCTAAAGAAAAAATTACTCTAATTTATATAAAATGTTAGTGATGGATCTTGCATTTGCCTTCAGTAATACAAACTATAAATCCCTCGTTGGAGACTGAAGATGAGGTTCTGACTCCCCTCAGCAGAGCAGGGAATTCCCTTTGCTCTGTTTCACATCAGTGCTGTGAGCTGAGTGCAGCACTTACACAAGCCCTGTGCCAATTTTAACTTGCAGCTTCCCAGGACAGCTTTGGGTGTCACAAGCAGCAGACCTGGGCTCCCTCATGGACCAGTTTGAGACCAGCACAACAGCAGGTCAGAAACCCAAAGAAGGGTAAGGGGAGGTGTCGTGCTGCAGTGAGCAGTACCTGATTTGCATGGCCTTTGACATCAAAGTAGATTGTAAGATTGTGATGCATAGACTCCACAACAGCTTCTCTCAGAGTTGGTACCTTTTCATCTTGGAATTGGCTCCTGTAGAAACGGAGAACTCACTGGAATGCAGACAACATACATGTGCACACACATGGGGCTGCACACACGGCTGATTCAAACACAGTTTACTGCTACACTGATACTGGAGGTAGGATCCAGTGCTCACTGGCCCTGTGTCCCACCCCAAAACACCAACCCCAGCTCTTCACCTCCTTCCCCAACTCCCAAAAACAAACTTTCAGTCACAACTGCTGCCTTCCTCCTGCTCTTACTGCACTCCCCAGCCCTGAGCCAGAAATGCAGGTCCTGGCAGAACAGGCAAGACAAGCTGAGGATTCAGCAGATTCAGCTTCACCCATCAATAAATCATTCCTGATGGGGTGACAGTTCATTCCTTCCTGACAGTGAACAGCAGCTGCTCAGCAGTCACTGCCTGTGGGAATTCCTGCTGCATGACCCTTTCCAGTGAGACAGGGAAGATACTCCCTGTGCCATACACCACAGGTAGCACGTCTGCCGTTCTGGAATTCCCTAATGCAGTGTCTCAGGAGCACATTAATGTATAAAAATATTTACCCCTGCATACCCCTAGAAAGGACCTAATCAGCCATTAGAGTCACAGTGAGGCCACCCAAAATCTGTCTAGCTCCTCTTTGACAGTATAAACCTGATGTATAGAAAACACAATCAGTCAAGAAATACATCTGAATAAAATTAATCTTAGAAGTAAGTCCTCTAGCCAATTCTAACAGATCATGAAGATCCTAGTACCTTTAGTGTCCTGCAGTCAATTTAGGACAAGCTTATGTAGAGATTGACCTGTTTCACATTAGTGCCAGTGGATTTTGTCCTCAAAAGCCAGTTTATTTTGACTCTGTTTCACTGTTCCTAATGTACTGCTGGGTAGGGAGATAGAGCCTCAAATGCCTCTGAAGTCAAATTAGAAGTAGCATATAGGACTAAGTTTTAAATTAAAAAAAATAATCATCAGTGATAGATCAAATCAATAATTCTGTTCATCAATAATCATTTTTCCTCTGTTGAAAGTGTAATTTCAGAATAGTTCATTTACCGTAGCCTGTGTTTTGCAGATGGATTAAGCTTCCTGATTTCCTCAAAAGTCAGATCCCGCAGTCTCCCAGCCCCATCAGTTGTCCTTTCGACTGTGTCATCGTGCATGAGAATGGGGACACCATCTGCACTAAATTCAAGATCCAGCTCCACACCCGTTGCTCCATTCTCAGCTGCCTTAAAAAAAGTTTTAAAAATCACATACAGAACAGAAGAGACAGCTTTATGGATTTGACACAGGTACAGCTATAATTAGCTTGTATTTTGGTAAAAGGTAACAAAATATTAATATACTTTTCAGTAGTCCTCATCTGCAGAACAAAGCAGGTTTTATCCAAGTATTTTTAGAGCATTCATAGATCAACTGAACCATCTATTTTACAGCTGAAACCATAATGATTCTGCCTGAGTCTTGGGATTGGAACTGTTTCAGGATAAAAATGCAGAAAAGAATCCTGCTCTCTCCTTATGATGTAATAACCCTGGAGGCCTTAAGTTATGTTATTTTCTAAAAGACAAGAGAAGCAAATGCCTACAGTTTACATAACCTACACTCTAACACTTAGTCAGCACTCTTCACCACATGTGTACCAAGCAGTAGATAGATGCAGGCAAACCCCTGCTCCTCTCTGAGGAATGGCTTTATCAGAGAGCAAGAAGCAGCCAGTCCGCCTTAGAATATTTCATACACCCTGTTCCTGCCCTGGATCTTTCCCAAGAACTCTTCAGAAAAACACTTGAGTGAAGTGCTAACAACACCAATTGCTCTGAAGGACAAATGCCCTCCTGGGAAAAAGGACAATGCACCAGAAAGACAAAACCCGGGTATGGACTAGAGGTTACCTACAGGCATCTGCTACATAAGGATCGTGCAGCTTCAGAATTTATCAGGACTAAGAGTCCTGTCTCACGCAAAGGTCAGAGATCCTCAAGAGCAGCAATGTCTCAACCTCACAGAAACACTACATTCCAGAGACTGGGACTGTGAACCCTGTTGTGCCTTGATGCCTTGCAGATTTGGCAGCAGTAAGTCATGGCACACAGTGAAGATCTGGTACCAGATTTTCCCCTAACTGGATTCTCATCACAGATCTTCAAGGTTTAAAAAAACAACCTGTTAGTGAGTTGCTGTCCGCTCTCCGTGTGCTGTTGTTACATCAACAAAATACAGTATTTCATTAGCGCTGAAATATTCATCAGCACCAAGGCTATAACAGCTCCCACAAGATACAGATCTGATCAGAAGTTCCCTTTGGGATGAAGGATCAACCACCCACACAGCTTCCAGCAGCTACCGGAAGAACAGCCGGAGATACGGTGAGAAAGGCTTGGTGCTGGAAGGGCGGATTATCAGACACAACCCAGCAGCCCCCCCAGGCTGAGGCTGTGTCCCGCCAGCCCCGGGCCCGTGCTGACCTGTCGGATGGCCGCCAGCGTGTTCTCGGGCGCGTCGTGCGCTCCGCCGCGGTGCGCGATGCGGGCGGCGGCGCCGCGGGGCCGCAGGACGCCCTGCGCGCTCTGG